TTCCCTCTGGCGCTTGCTTTTCCCTCCATTTGTGACGCTTTCCTACTTCATTTCTGGCATTAATGAACTCTCTCTGTTTAAAAAACCATGCTTGAACTTTTTCATAAGCGAATACCTATTTTTCTTTGACTTAGCATTGGGTAGTTTTTGAAACCCCACTTATGCGGCGATATTTTGAACGAGCGACGGAACATGGAATTTCTAATGTCCGCTGTAATCGTGAGCAGCACAATGGAGAACTACGCCGTCATAAAAATACACGAAGCGGAGGGCCTTCTCGGTGAAAAGGATGGAACATCTCTGGCACACGAAACGCTACCAGTGATTTTTCTAGTATGGTTTATTTCTCTCTCTGCTAGTCACAAATATATTTTCTCTCTCCGCGGTGACAAGTGTTGACAATGATCTGTAGGTATTGATAGTTGGAAAGTAGGCTTCATAAAGTAATCAAAACATCAACGATTCCCGTCCAACCAGTTTGCTTTGGAAATCTGACGAAACTGAAGTAAATAAGCTATGAGTGAATACTCTGTCTTAATCTCTTCGGACTAGTCAATATGTCCGACATTATACCAATTCTGAGAAAAGCAACTCATTGTTTTCAGCTAGATGGGTTTATTCAGGGCTTCAGCGAACTTCTAGTCGAGAGGTAAGGAATTTCTCCACCATATTTCTCGTTTTTGAACTCCGGTAAGGAGGAAATGCAAATGAAATGCATTGATGTTACTTTTTGTGATTTTTCAAATTTACTCCGACAACATCATGTTCCAGTATGATTCATTAGTATGCTTAAATTTGATGCTAATCGACCATTTGGACATGACGTTCAGCCAAACACGAAGTGATCTGATGTTAGCAGCGGTTGCGAGTCAAGGAAGCCAATGGGACCATGTGCTATCAGGGGTTGTTTTTGAGGAGGCATGCTAGAGCCCGCTTCGGCCGTCACACAGCAGCAATCCGACGAAAGTGATTTGCGTAGATGCTTGTTTCGACCCTCGTCGTAGCGCGACAATAGGTCCTAATCCGGTATGCCGCCCTACCAGCTTCACGGAAGAATCTTGTTTGAACGTGTGAGTTCAATCTTGAGTGAGCAGAGTTTGTTCTCGCGAAAGTTAGATTGCACAGAATGTTCTTGATGGTGGAACACGAAGTCCTTTTCAAATCAAGTTTCTTGGTATTTCCTCATCGTGCACAGTAACTGCGACTCTATTTCTGGCTGTCAGTTGATATGAGATTCAACGGTGATTTTTGTGGTCATGAAGATCATCATACAGGTTCTCCTCAATGGTGGAATAGTGGCATCCGAGCGCTTGTACTAGACTGGTCGTAATTACACATAGATGCTGCTTTAGATGGCATAGCGGTTGTGTCTTGCAAGATTTTCGACTTTCTTGACATCGATGACGAGTCGCAGAAACTAGGACACAACGGTGTATTCGTGTGCTGCCTTCCCTAACGTGCTGTTCATGTCCTTGTGCGCTGCTGACAAGCAGGTACTCTTCAGAGACCACCACTCGAGTTCCATGTTTGAGCACTTTGTTGTCCATTTCTTTCTTCTCCAATGCCTGCCCTTCCAGGCTCTTAGGAGAACCTCGCGATTATATTCAGGTTCGTAATTTTAGGATCCCTTAAATCATAGTCGTTTGAAGCGGGAAATTTTTCTCAAAGTGCTATATCATTTTTTCGCCGTGACCACAATTTCTGGGACACTCATTGAAATGTCGGTCGCCCTGTGTTCGTAGCGTTTCAATTAGTGCACATTCCACGTGAATGCTGTTTCGGTTGTTTCGTATCTAAGCTGTATATTTAGCTTTCATATCACTTTAAAACAACCGTGCATCATGAAATGCAAGTTTACTAGCCTATGATAATAGGGAGCATGCAGCGCAGTAGTTGAAGGTGCCGTGCAACACGCACGTGGTTTTTGGTTCAATTCCGCGCACCGGTCTCACCAAACATTCCATCCCTCGGGGGTCGGAAAATTGCTACCAGACTTGTCTGGGAGGATAAGAGCACTGATTTAATCTCGCAGGAATCGATACACTTCATGCTTCATTCTCTGTTGGCCGAACGATTGCATATGTTGATGTGTGCACAGACATCTTGCAACGAACTTAGTGCACTAGAATTATTTTTGCAAAGCAAACTGCAGCAAATCTTCAAAATTCGGTTCGTTTTCGTAACTTTGGTAAGGTGGCATGGGACATGTTGGAATCTAAGATTGGGCGAGCGCCCAGGAGCATATACGTAGTGCCTGGATATCTCGCTTCTACAGTGAACAGCAAAGTACTTTGTCTTCGACTGACCAGCTGTCTCAATCAGTTTTCAACAGTGCACGCTTAACTGGACATCTAGACATGGGACGCGTTGGAATCTAAGATTGACGAGCACCCCGAATCATACGCGTAGTGCTTGGACTGGCCACTTGTCTGATTCAGTATTCAGAAGTGCATGCTTAACTGCTGATCATCTGGTCGTACATGCAGAACGTCGTACGTTGTGCTTCCTTAGCATTAGAGGACCGCCATGTTTAAGAACTCGAAATTTTCATGTGTTGTTCGCCTAAGTTAGCGTTTTGTCTTTAACAAAGTTAGTTTGAAGAAGCAAACATTCTCTAAACGATTTTGTCATAAGCACTTTTTTGAGCGGTATATTCAAAACTAACCTTGTATTCCTAGCCACTAAATGCGCCAGCTTATTTTCTTCGTCTTAGTTTCTATTCCATTCTCACACCCAACATATGTCAAAGCAATGTCAAAACCACATCACTTAACATGGCCGTGTTTTTCGCTTGGATCCAGTTCTGAAGGGAACTGGGAGTTCTTCATTGCTGCTGTCGCGGGCTTGACAGGAGTTGGTTTCCTCAGAAAGCAACCGGTTTCTGTCCTATCGTCTCTAGGACGGATCTTTATCTTTACCCTTATTTCACTTTGTAATTACTACGTAACACCGCTTTTTGCAATAAATTACGCACAGTTTTGTGTTGTGACACTGTCACAACTGAACTTAAACTAGACTGTCACTTGTTCCTAATCCTCTGCGATGTTTGTCCGTTGTAGCAGCAGAACCCCTGGATTCCCTTCTAGTTAATTTTGAGTTATGTTTGCTGGAATTGGGTAACGAACTGCAGTTTTCAAAAAACATTGACTTTTTTGGTCTTATACTTTGCAAAAACTTTTGAGAAACTGAGACAGCAATTGAAGTAATTGGAATAAGGAATTACTTAGAAGAGTTCGTCGATCACTTCTTCATCACTGTGGACTGCAGGAATTGGAAGGGATCGAGAGAGAGATGCTAATTTTCCTGCAAGAATCATTACGCTTACATTTGCACTGTCCTGCTGATGCGTTTCATTTTTTTCCTTTTCACTGAAGTATTCAAGCCGACCATTTCTCAGTAGGAGAGAAGAGATCTTTTCAATAGCGACGGTAGCACATCGATTCCGTTTCTGGAAAGCACACACATACACTGATCAATGTGAGAGGTTTATAAATATGCACTCATCATGTGCCCTAGAACCGAGTACAGAACTGGGAACCGGTTCGAAGCAATATTAACTGTCAACCATTCCCTTCTATTCACAGAGACACTGCATGTGCGTATTTTACAGGGTGTTCCTGGAGTTACTGTAATGAACAATCTGCTGCAGTGGGAGCATTAGGGAGGCATCATTGAGGATACTGGTCATGAACAATTTCTAATTGTTGACATTTGAATTTTCCACGAAAATGTGGGTGATGTCAACGTAGTGTCGACAAAAACAAACTCCGCTCTCCCTGGGCTTCGAATCCCTCTATAACTCTTGCCGAACCGACGTCGAGATGTGCTCACATACCGTAGCGGTGCTTTCTACCGGCTACCAACAGTCATTTCAGAAGCAGTACCGAAAGTGGCAGTTCATTTACCGCTCTTTATTGCATTCGTTAACTAATGACTAATAGATCTGCAATGTGATGCTAATGTTGGTCCATTCTGGCGAACATCTTGTCGAAATTCACCAGTGAGATAAACAAAATTTCGTGGCTGTAGTCGTAGTTCTTGTTGTTAGAATCCGGCAGTTTTCACGAGGCACGCGAAAGCATCGATTGCCAATAGCACGAGTGGGGTAAACCTTCTCATTTTCTTCTTTCCCACATCTCTCTGTCTCTGTTTCTGTTGTTTATCCTCGTATCTATGTCTTGTTATTTCTGCAGTGACATAAAATACTGTTTTTTTGTTTTTACGGCAGTCGCGGACTGTAAGCTGGGGAAGTGTTGGTCATATCTGGAGAGAAATTCCAGTCTTTAGTAAATCATGGTGAACATATTTGATTAAAAGTCTGCTTCATATGATGCTGTGACCATTCTGCTATCCTATGAGGCAACCAACGATCAGTTGCCGTAGACGAAAATGACTATAGATGGAGTCCGTAAATCGTTCTCTATGTCCTAACTGTGGCCCTGCACAATAGTCACCGTCTCAGCTATTCGTCCCATGCTTTTCTGTAAAAGGGACTTGCTATGCTCTCTCAGCGACCGTGCTGTTCACCACTCCCCAGGTATTCCTGTCGAGCAATTCGTTCGGGTGTGTTTATTGCCGCCTGCTAGCTACCGCTCTGCCGCACCCGTCGCTCTCCGGCCGCCGGCGCGTGACGGCGCGACGTCATCGCCCTCGTCAGCCGGCCGTGATCTGCCGAGTTGCTGGTCGTCGGCGTCTGTAGGGGCGACGCGCTTTCGAGGCGAGCATTCTCCTTCTCTACCGCGCTCCTCGTCCCCTTCACTCCTCGATCTCCCTCTCTCCCACCCCTCTTCCCGTCACCGGGCGAAGTCGCTCGGAGGGCGGCGCGACGTGCAATCTGCTACTCTGGCCACACTCCCTGTCTACTGTACACTCTCGTTGGCGTTCACCCACACCTCATCCCTATCCCCACGCTCTCTGCTCGTTCTCCTCGTCATCTGACGTGTTTTTACGGATCTCCTCGCCATGCACGCTCTTTCCCCACAGCCGCCAGCATTGGTGTTATGCTGTCAGGAGTTGTTTACTTTCTGCACAGCAGTCGTTCCACAATCGATGTGTGTGTAGGCTCATGAACGTTGTTGCTCTAGCTCGAGTGGCTTTATGCCGCATGTACACCCACTTACATAGACGGTGTTTGATCCACGAGTGCTCTTACTGCCTAATATCCTTCCACGAATCTATGAGGCCGGTCCAGACTGGACAGCCCCCGCCATACGCGCGAATTATACCAGCTCAGTAGAACGTCTCTAACCTGCTTCGCATTCATCGCTGACAGTCCTCTCTACACAGCTCTCCTATCCTCGTCTAGTGCTGTGCACCTTTCTCACTTGAGCATTTCATCATACGCAAGCCAAAGCATTTAGCATAGGTTGAGTACTGATAAGAACGACTTAAGTTATTAGAAAGTGCAGTTCTTGAGAGATCTACTCTAGAGACGAAATTTATTCCTCTTTGCGCCCATTGGTGTAAAATACCAGAACCTTTGCTTCTTCATTTCGGCATCATTTCACGCTTTCTTTCCTCATTCTTCAAGAGCAGTACATTTTGCAGAGAATTCGACATGAGTGAGGCGGAGTCGTTGGGAAGCAGCAGTGGCTCGGACGAGATCGCCTTCTCACAACTACTCGCCTCGGTTGCCCGCCCGATTCCACAGCCCTTCGTCGCTTCGCCGTGGGGCTCAGGTGGGTGTTTCGTAGCGGTGGACTGGAAGTTGGGTCATTTTCAAAACTTTCCGATGACTTCTATGATGCTGAGATATTTGCAAAACTTGGACCGCATGCCAGATTCAAGCGCGCAATTATCCCTTTCTTATTACTTGTTAGTGATAAGTGGACAGGATAACAGAAGAATGTCGATGTCACACAGCATGATTGTAAATCGAGATTGAAGCAGTTTCGGTACGTGACCTGAGCTGGTCATATAAAGTAGCCGTCACAGTTTAGCACGCACGCAAATGGTGACTGAGTATTGCTACACGGAGTATGGAGGTCGACTATTCATCGTTTGGGTTATAGTAGTGTGTTGATACCACTGTGTCGATCGAGAATGATCACCGGGTTTTGCGCTCATTTCAAGAGGCCACTCCAGCTGAGGGGACAAAATGAAGCGTTTCTCTTCAGCATGACTTTAGGTCAAGCAGTATTTCTTGGCGTAATGAGGTGGTGGGTATTGCAGTGTTTGTGCGTGGCCTTCCGTCATCTCCATCCAGTGCAGCGCTACGAGCGTTGCCGTCCGTGCAGGTCATTTTACGCATGCGAACTGCAGTGCGCTGGAGTGTATCGACCTGTACGCACATAATGGGTGGCTGAGCTGTTCGAATGAGGGACGGTAGAACCATCAACAATATCCCAATTCGCCTTTTGGGAAACTCTAATGGGGAACTGGTTAGCTATAAATGAATGAGCGAGTGACTATCTGTCAGCGGTAAGAAAGTGCATACAGTGACATCTGTTGTAGAACTCAATGGGAGCAGGCGGGAACGTCGATCATCTTCGCAGTGAAGAAGCCAAAAATCAACCATTTATGAGATCTCTGGTTTTTTCTAAGCAAAGCTTTGATCGGTAGAGCTCCCTTCCTACTCACGTTCCTTTTCATAGCAGAATCCTTTCTCTTGCAGGAGTTCTTTAGCACTTAATGTCCGATACTGTTTTACTGACGATAACTGACGATAATGTCTCAATCCTTAAAGCGTTTAAGGACTTAAGAACCCTAGGATGTATAAAAGAGGCTTCCCTCTATCGCCTTAGGTGTATGTACAATCTTTGCGGAACTTTTCTTCATTTTGAAATTTGTTTAGAGTTAAAGTTTTAAAACAGTTGACGAAATTCAAATTCCTTGAGGTCTTCAGCGCTGCAGTGCCACCTGCAACCTTGACGCAAAAGGTGAAGGGATTATATGTCATGGGCTGCAGAAAGTCGGAATTCCTTGTTAGTGGAATAGTAGAGTTTGTACTTCGTACAGAAAGATCTTCAGATTCCCTCGGTTCTCATTGCAATAATTGAACTTCATTGTTAGCTGAGATATATCGGTTGTAAGCTGAGAACGGCAGTGATTTTCGAACTGAATGCATTGAAATCAATGCGTGACCGATGCTATGTGTTAAGTATTAATAGCATTTTACATTATAGGCGATTACGAACAGCAATAAAAAGTCATCAGTAAAGCTGTTGGAAAAAATCTTGTGGATATTATGAGGAAGAAGTCTCAGTGTTTAACAAGACAATTGTCATGTAGATATGCTTCTATCTGTAGTCATCCTGCTGCACTGTTATTGGTTATTTGCCTAGTTGGTGATGCAGACTTTCAGTGGGGTACTACCGTACAGAAGAAACGGATATTGAAGATTTAACAAAAACAAAAAAATCGATCTACCAAGTTTAAAGTCGTATCTCAAGCAGAGCAGTGAGGAAATTGCTTTGGACGTGAACCAACTGAGTTTTTAGAAGGTATTAATGGAAGAGATAACATCTTTTGGGCATTATCTAGATATTCTTTACTTTTTTTAAACAGATGTGATAGATCTTTTGGAAACTTCTGTAGACGACATTCTCTGCTTTTGCGTACAACGGTGCGTCGGGATTCAGGTCCAATACAGTCCTCCTCCTTTTGTTACGCATATGATCACGCAATGGTTCACCTTCTTATTGTGTTGATGTCCACGACAAACACTCTTTAAATGCAAAGACTTTGTCTTAGGACGGCTCACTTTTAGGAAACCCGATTCTTATCCGGTAAATGATTAATTCCCAGATCACAATAAGTCACACATAGTTTAAGTCGCGCCACAATATGTCAAAGGGAGAGGATGGGCTCGTAATAGTCGTTTGAGATGGGATTCTCGAAATACGTGGTGTGCTGAAGTTGGGCTTATTTTGCAGTTCAAATGCAGAAGATAACATTTTCGTGGTGAATCTTGGGCCAATGATGATAAGAAATTCTTGAGCCATTTCGTGGAGCGCCCAAAAGTGCGTTTGGCGCGGATAGGTCAATTTTTTTTCTTGACAACTGGGAGTGCAAAATGGTACAGGTGACTCCATTTTAGCGGTCTCGCAGCCTATGTTGGGCGGTTCGTTCGGACTGGCGCCGACTCCTCCGCCCATCAATGACCAGGTGGGACAATCTCCATTCTTCATGTCTCTTCTCTTCCTTTTTTATGCTAGGATTTCCTGTGTTTGTTACTTTTTTCAGTTACAATGCTTCTGTTTTGTCAACTATGGTTTAAATGGATTTCCTATCACATATTTAGCGTTTTCGGTAGCTGTTAATAAGCGTATATATGTAGACTTGATATTGATTATCCTCCTAGTAAGAATTCTATTGTGAACAGGAATTATTAGATTACCGAAAAGAAAGAAAGTGGTGCATTTATCCCATTCATTCTGAAGTTTTCTGCTCATTTTTATCACGTGGGAAGACTGCCTGAGCTATTCTTTTAGCACTTAGCACCTTTATTTCTAAGGATTTGAGAAGTCAAGCTTTGCTGAGAATCTAAGGGCAAGTCTAAGGAATCTAGAAGATCCTTTAGTGAGTGTACTGGTAGTTTCAACACTCACAATCCCCGACGAAGTGATAGATCTGTAAAGGCGTACAATATCGACGTCCTTCTCTGCGATCTGCTCCGACGCCTCAGGATGGGTTACATTCGAATTCGACAACTATTGTAAATTTGCTACCATGTCGTTTAGTCGGTGGATCGGTCGGTCGGTGGACTGTAACTCTCATCCCATTCCTACGGGAAGCACTTTGGCAATGGCAGGCTAGCTAGCCGTCTGAACATGCTCCTACGTTGACAAACTGTGCGATCTCCTACGAGGAGACTGATATCAGAAGTGTTATCAGAAGGACGAACGTGGAACGGCCTGCCCACGTACGGCGCTGACCTCCCAGAGCGGTGGGGCGCGCGTTCTCCGCGGTTCGCGTCGGTGCCAGGCGCGCTCAGCGACAAACACTTCGTAAACCTCGAATCGTCGGCCCATTGCGATCCTATCGTTCGTCACCCTACGACGACGATCTGTGCGTGGTTCGTCACGGACTGATCAAGCACAACGCTTCCTATCAAGATATTCAACCCATTGGCCCCATCCACATGTATCTTTGTTTCTTTTTTGACTTTTGAGTGGAAGCTAATAGTCGTAGTTCTTGAGGAGTAGTGTTTCGGCTGTGTTCGATCCCATCGTTCTGTTCCTCGACTGTAGATCATATTTCCGAAATGCGCGCTAGCGCCACATTTCACTCTATCATCGACGCCACACAGTCTATGGACACCGAATGGGAAAGCGTGGGAGAATCTAAACAAAGCTTGGTCACAGTTGAAAAGCCACCGAATGTTCTGTCGATCGCGATACCATAATGTTGCGGTTTCGTTTTCCATTGGTAAATCCATAAGAAAGGAGAGTAATAACTTTCCTTCCGTAAATTTCGAGGTCCAGATGATTAAATTTGTTTCGTTTAGATCTGCCGGCTTTTTGTCACCTTTCCTTTTTACACATAAAGAACACCATATTCCTTCTCCTTTTGCCTTCCATAATGGCCAGTCATCCTTTCATTTTTTCCTTTTCCCATGCTCACTTCGTTATCATCATGGACTTGATTCCCGTAGAATTTCGATAACGATCATTTGACTTCTTTCCTGAGAAGCAGTTCAGAAAGTAAAATAACGGAAATTGAAATGAAGATGTACGAAGACGGATTTTTTTGATCTAATTTTGAGGTGTCATCTCCAATACAGTGTGAACTATTTCTTTTGCCGGTATACCTTTAGCTCAGGTTTCAGTTGACTTTCCTCACACCAAGTTAAATTGCTAAGCGCCAACTGGAGCTTGTTTTAGCGGTTTCATGCTCGTGTCCTCTTATCGATCCATACACGAATGGTGAATTGGGTTACGATTAGATAACAAGTGATGCGAATTAATTTAGCGTAGGGTGAGTATAGCGCACTGGTTTGAGGTGCCGTGCAATACACACATCGCGTCGTTGGTTCGATCCTTTGGCGCCCTGCACTCATCAAGCTTTCTACCTATCAGGCGTTGGAAAATTGCTACTAGGGTTGTCTAGAAGCATAACAGCACTGGCGTGATACATCGGTAGACCACCGTAAGTTACTGTATACGCCAGACATGAATTCAGTCACCTCTAACGATGCTTAGTGAGTCATGGCAGATCCTTTAGACATTGATCAAACCTGAAAGCTGTATTCTTTTGTCTTTTGAATCTGAAATTGGTACAACACATGCGTGTCAATGAGTGGCCTACTCGTGCTCTGTGATAAGGCTAAGTTAGGTTTGATCGTGTTCCTTGGGAAGATGTCATCGTCTTGAGTTGACGATAGTTCCTCGGACATGTTCCACCAGGAACTGTCGTCTTTAGACTGGAAATAAAAACTGTTTCCCTTTCCATAGAGTGTCTATTCTGTAAACTACGGATTAAAATTGTCCGTTATGAATGCGTCGTTTTCTCGTTCAGCAATCGCAAGGTTTTTAAAAAGCATACATTTACTTCCATAGAGAAACACAATACAATACAACGCTAGCTGACGTTTCGGCAGTATCGCCTTCTTCAGAGCCTGGAAGGGTATACTGATATACAATCTACTAGGCCAAACGCTTCAATAACACTTACAAAAAGACGAAAGACTCTTTGGTAATTACATGATCAACAACCTCTCGAGAAAACCCACCGCTTTTTCGTGACTTCCAGTGAGGAAGTTTAGAACAGCTGAACAACGACGCATTCATATTCCAATGCCGAGGTTAATAGAAAGTCGATCGTGGGAACTATTGTCCGTTATATCATCACTTATACCTATTTCATTAGCTTATTAGTGGAGGGAATATTTCATGAAACTACATGAAACTTGGTTGTGAAGATGTCTATTACCCATTTTATGATTGTTTATACAATGTTCATTATTGAGTATGCTGTTGGTTTCCAGCACCTCCGTGTCTTCTTTATGACGTTAGTTCAGGTGGTGAAGTGCCCACTGTGCCAGGAGCCATACCGTGAGCCAAAAGTCCTAGCGTGTTTCCACTCATTCTGCAAGGCTTGCCTGGAACGACAGATTGACTCTGCTGAACGCATTGTCTGCCCACAGTGCCACATGGAAACACAACTCAGGTAGCACCGTAAATCAAAAGAGTGCAGGGATATGAGCAAAACTCGGAACCTGTTCGAAAGGACTTCGAATCCGCGACCACCTTTTCTGGGGTTTCCCAGTTTTGCTCATATTTCAGCATCTGTTGTACTTTACATAATATCCTGTCATGAAAAAGTGGTACGAATAAAAGTTAAACATTGCCATTTCAACTACAGCGTCGAGTCTACTGAGTTCACTGCCACAGATCATTCCTGTTGACGAGCGATTGATGATAACACCGTTAAAATATGGAAAACTATCTGAGAGAAGGGCAAAGCAAAGGTATTGGTTGGTATGGTAGATAGCACGTGAGTGCCAGAAAGGGTAATCGCTGTTTTTAAGCCCACATGAGGTTCCTAGTTTTGGTCGTATATCAGCATCGCACTGGTTGTTTCTCACATAGCACCCTATTATGAAAAAGAGTAGACGACTTGTAAAAGTTAAACATTCGGATCTTTATACCGTTGGCTAAATTAATTTCATCAAATGGCACATGTCCTCTTTAGCGTGCAACTTGGCCTTGACTCCCTTCTCTCTGACTATGGACTCGAGGCTGTTTTATCTCGCCCTAACATAGTTGACGACAAGGGATTGCTTTTCGGCTCTCCCAGTTCCACTTCCTCGTCTCCTCCACTTTCTGATTCTCCTTGTGATCAGGTGAAATCTGGTTATTATTTAATTTGCACTTTATTTAGTTCTTATGCTCTGTTTAGAATTCTAACACCAACAACCGCTCGGCTTGTACGGGGTGCAAGTCTGGTGAGCGCGCATCGCATTATTGTCAAGAATGTACTCACTATCTTTGTACCAACTGCACAATGGCGCACCAATATATGCATTGCTTTGAGGGCCATCGTGTGGAGCCCATTTCTCAAGTACAGGTACCGTGACCCGAGTCTTCTTTTATTCCTGTTAGACTTTTCTCCATCATCGTGCTTCCTTTTAGACGTCCATGCCACCGTCGAGTACTACTCCTGCACACGAACGTTCTTGCAAATGTTTGCAGCATCGTGCACAGCCGTTGCGCTTCTTCTGTCTGACGTGCAACTTGGCCATTTGTCGTGAATGCACCCTTGTTGAACATGCACAGCCGGCACATCAGTACGAACCTATTACGGAGGTATGGTTTAGCTAATGTGATTGTTCTATGGTAAGAAGTGGTGCGTGGTGAAGCATCGACTGTGAGTTGAGAAATATCAAACTATTCGTGAACCTGAATTTCGTTTTCAATTTGCACAACACTTTTTATAGGTTGCTGAGAAACAACTCAATACGATGGAGATGCTAGTGAACGAAGCGCGTAACAAGCATATGGACCTTTTAGAAATGTTCAAACAGGTCGAGTACCATTTTATACCACATATTTCTTAACGTGAGTTGGAAACATAGCAGATCGAGAAGAAGTGTAACAAAAGCGTAGTAATGTGATGCCCACAGTAACGGTTTCCAATAGCCTCAAGCTTGTCAAGTAAGCAAGAGAAAAATGCTTTCTGGTCCGTGTCTTCTCAAAGCAAACCAAAAAGAGTCTGTTGGGTTCACAAAGGCCTGGGTGTGATGAAGAGCTAGCAGCGCTATCTCTTAATATCTCTGGGAGATGATTTCGACCGGCAATAAAATTCGTGAGAAAATCTTCAGCTAGCAGTTGACCTAATTATAGCTACGAAGGTATTGGGTGACTACTGCAAAAGACAGAGCGAATCAAAAAAAGATACGGGGTACCCACACATTTTGAAAGTTGTCCTATAAGTTGGCATAAGTTATTATTTGGCCTTCGTTAGTTTATTTACCGACTTTCTTTTTTGTATACGCAAATATATTGTTGTTCACTTTTAGGTCGATGCCGCTCAACAGCGACTAAGTGCAAGCCTAGGTCGCGCTCACTCACAGCTTGATGAAAACGTTAATGCTCTTTTACGCATCGTCGAAGATGCGCGCAAAGCTGCATCCAAGGAGATCGACGCTGCTTTCTCCGCCAAACAAGTAGTGTACTTATACGCTCCATATGCGTTGTTTGCTAGATGATAAAGTATATAAAACACTTGCCGTCGATCAATCCCTGAGGGATGCGCTATGGATTCGACTTCATGAAGCATCGTGTGGAAGTGATTAAGTGCACATCTGCCCTTTACAACGTCCCTAGTCTACCGATGTATCGAGCCGGTGCCGCTATCCTGCCAGATAAGTGTGGTACCAATTCGCTGACCCCAGAGGGATGAAAGGCTTGGTGGTCCACGGGGGCGGGTGTCGATCCCACGGGGGCGGGTGTCGATCCCACGTGTACTGCAGGGCGTCTCCGACCACTGCACCACAAGCGCCAATGATGATAAGGTATTTGCCAATCTCATATTCCTTAAAGCAGATCTGTCGTAAATGCATTGAATGGTCTATTCTAATGAGCCAGATGTACATATAGTTATGACGACGAAAGATGTTGAATATGATCAGCTTCTATATCCTTGATTCCGCTGTAATTGTTTGGAAGAACCAGTGGGGTTGCGATATCCTCGTGGTAGTTTGAGCCATTCGTATCCGCCGATTTGAACTAAGTATATTAAAGCATAGATGTAACTTCAAACTTCTTAACGAAATTTATTGGGGCAATCTTTTAATATCGTTTTAGATTCAACTTACCATGGTAGATAAACGCATCCAGCAAATGACAGAAAAACTTAGTCAAACTATCGACTTCACAACGAGGCTTGTCAAGTATGCGTCTCCCACCGAGGTCATGGTGTTCAAACAGCTGTTAGACACTCGACTCCAACTTTTCCTGGCGTTCAATCCTGACGTAAGCTTGTAATATTTATTGTTCATAACAAGGTCTTTTTTCTAACATATTATATTTTTAGGCATCCAATGCTTTGGGATCATCATGCGAGCTTGAGTTTCCACCACTTAACGTCTCAAGTGCCCGCCAGACCATCCAAGGATTGTTTGGCCAGGTGCGAGGAGGGCCAGCAGATTGGAACGGACAAGCCAGCTCTCAAACAGGCATGCCTCCAACACCAATAGGAAGACCTCCAAGCAGACAAGTGAGTAAGACTGATCGCTCATTGTGGCACAATATCCTGATTAAGTGAATGAGTTGTGTTTTAAGCTTGTGCGTTCCCCTCCTCAGGCACACAGCGTTCCCCTTCCACCAAGTGTGTTTTCTGATTCTAACAACTTCCTTCGCCCGAGAAATGAATTTGGAGGTTCTAGTCAATCTCTTGGAAATTTCGCCACCGACGTCTCATCATCTCTTGTAGGTTTTTGCGATTGTCTTTTTGCGCGTGAGACAAAAAAAGGGGCGTCCGACCACGAAAGTAGTGAGAACAATTTACAACTCAGCACATTATTTTACCTTAAGTGAAACGCATTAAGACACCTCTTATATGGCCACATTGGTGTTATTAACTTTCTAGTGCTGATGTTTTTTTTGGAAAATGGTCATAGTAAGGAACATTCTCTCTTATTATCTAAATTATACCAAATGAGCTGAAATGATTTCAATTTTCAAAATTATATTTTTAAATAAGACGATAGCACCTAGTTTAATGTGCTCCACGAAAGTTTCCTGGTGCTCTGCTTTTTAACTAACACCTCTGTTTTCTTCCTGTATTGTACACCGTGGTTAACATTGTTTTAGGACGCTTGTGGTTTGCCGGTCTACAATCACTATGATAAGTGGTCGATCGGTGTTGAACCTAGTCTTGGCATGCTTGAGCCAGGAAATATGGAAGACGAGAAGATAACCCTTTATCCACCAAGGTAATGTAATTTTAGAACATATCTGTTTCGGTATTTCTTCCTTAATGAAAGCTTCTGTTCCATTATCACATTTTGTGTTAACTTTTGTCTCGTTTTGGATGGTTGAAGACAGCAGCGATTTTTGTTGGTTAATTTCACCCTTATTTTATGCGGCGAATAACGATATTTCAAAACCGACTTTCCTTTATCCTCAGTATGAGCAGTCAACATGTACTCTTTCATTGATAAGCTTACACGAGGTTGATAAACAACTTTATTCTGCAAATGTTTCGACGTCTTCGTCTACATCAGAGGCTGTGATCGAAGTCGATGGTCAGTGGAACAAATGTGGACCATCGTCTTGAATCATCGGCCCTGATGAAGACGAAGACAGGAAAATGTCAGTTGAGTAAAATTCTTTATCAATGAAAGATTACAGAGAATAGTGTTGGTTGATCTGTGCGTGATTAAAATTTGTGTAACCTTCTAGTGGTCTTTAACTCCAAGTTAGAATGTCCAAGTACAATTCTAGATTTCATTGTTTCAAAAGCCCAGTTTTCACCAGTACGAAATCTCGGTCAACATTAGCAGAATTAGGTCAGAGGAAGTAATAGAAATGTTGGAACTAGGATTCAAGAGTTTTTCATAAGTGGAAAATTATGGTTATTATTGACTTCCTTCATACATAGTTTTTCAGTCGATCACAGATCAGTCGTCAAAAGATGATTTATCATTGCAAGTTCGGGGAGTTTGGCGTGATGGAGGGTCAATTTACGGAACCTTCTGGTGTGGCAGTGAATGCGCAAGGTGACATCGTTGTTGCCGACACAAATAACCATCGTATCCAAGTAGGTTTGCAAATCAGTTTTTGGGTATCTTATTAAAAAAGGAAATAAGTTTGGACTTTTAAGGTTTTTGATAAGGAAGGACGCTTCAAATTCCAATTTGGCGAGTGCGGCAAGAGAGATGGACAGCTTTTGTACCCCAACAGGTTGGTTGATTAATTCAGTGTAGTATTAGGTAGGTGAACTGGGGAATTGCTGAAGAACAAGTGAATGAAATTAATAGTACAATGACGAAATTTTCTTCAGTAAGGGCCGGGAGTGTTAAATACCACTTATTGTGCTGAAACTTCAAAAACTGTGTAAGCGCATAAAATCGGGGTCACTACGAAGTGAGATGAACGGTACCTTACGTACTTTAGAACTAGAAGAATTCATCGGAGACGTGAATGGTAATGATTATAAGAAATGTTTGTTTAACACCATTGTGATTGCTCGGGCCTTAGTCGGTGCATTGATACGTTAAATTTTTGCCAGAGATTTCACGGTGACGTAAATATTAGGATTAGTCCAAGTAGTTTTGCGAAATATTTATCAATATTGTTAACATCCGTTTAAACGCAGGGTATCGCTTTACTCAGCACTCGTATTCCTGGAGAAAACGTTTGTTTTGGTTGAGAGAGGAGTGGTTATTGAGCGTTTCGGTAACCACGAGTCGTTGCTCATTAAACCCTGATTCGTAATGAGATGAACATGAATTTTACAGCTAAAATGTTGAAAATCTGTAAAGGTCAGGACATTGAACCCAACTGGGATAACATAGGATTGAAAATCGAATCGATTTTTTTCAAACTGTAATTTTCTATGTAGATGACAACAGTGTTTATCACATCATCCATCACTTTATGAGACGAGTGATACTTGACTATATTCGAAGGATATAATTGGCTCTGGTTCTCAGTGTAGTTCATAAAATGCTTGCTATTTATCTCTTTCACTCTTTCTGGAATCGTGATCTCTACATGCTTTGGTTTGTGTTTAGAAGTAACTCCGGGTTTTTGGTAGTGTACGTATTGGCGCCATAACAAATCGACTTGCACATAGTTTCAGCGGAAAGACCGAGGCGGTTGCTTTGCTTTTCTTTCGGCTATTTTTTTTTACCCTGTCGATAATATCAGCGATGATCCGTCAACGGGAATGGGAGCACGAATCGGCAGTGGATCTAGTTAAGCTGATGCTGCTGTAGAAGTCACATTTTAACATTTAGTCCCGAATTTTCCTCGCATCTCAGCTTCTTTGTGGTTGTACGTGACATCATATTCTGCCATGGTGAAGGAATAGGTAATGAAGAAAAGATAAAACATAGGCTGGAATTTTTGTTATTGCGATAGAAATTATTATAGTTAAAACATCTTTTTTTATGTAATATATAAAACTCCGAACTTCATCCGTTGTAGAGTGGCTGTTAACAAGATGACGGGTGATTTTGTGGTAACTGAAAGGTCTCCTACTCATCAGATCCAGGTTTACAATCAGTATGGTCAATTTTTACGGAAATTTGGAGCGAATATTCTGCAACACCCTCGTGGTGTTTGTGTCGACAACAAAGGACGGATAATTGTGGTTGAATGCAAGGTATTTTCCGTTATTCATTTTTCTATTCCAATTTCTTTCGGTTATGGTAAGTTTGTATGCTGCCTACTGTACACGATGCGATTTCCTCTATATTAGACATTTCCCTGTCTACTTTTGTTTGAATTGTTGAGTTTACACGATCTTGAAAAAAATGCTCATTCGGCTAACGTTTCGACGTCTTCGTCTTCATCAGAATTGATAACGAGACGAATCCTTTTCCCTTTCTGTTTGTACCATTTTTTAAGCACTGATACATTGATTGGTAATAGGATCGAAATCGTTTTGAAAAGGCACTGTTGACATGTCCGGCCATTGTTTTCTGTCTATTAAATAGTGCGTTTGTAGGTGATGCGCGTGATCATTTTTGATATGTTCGGAAATATTCTGCAGAAGTTCAGTTGTTCTCGTTACCTTGAGTTTCCCAATGGTGTCTGCACAAACGACAAGAATGAAATCCTCATTTCAGATAATCGTGCCCACTGTATCAAGGTATAAAGCTGTAGTAATTGCATTTGAAAGTACAGAGTGTGAGTATAATGGCAGTGCTATCATTGTTCCAGGTGTTTTCATATGAAGGACAATTTCTTCGTCAAATTGGCGGTGAGGGGATCACCAATTATCCAATCGGTGTTGCTATAAACACTATGGGTGACGTTGTTGTGGCTGATAATCACAACAATTTCAACTTGACGGTGTTTTCACAGGTATTTTAAACCTACTTGGTCTCTTTCAAAGTAAGAGAGTAGCTTTCGTTTTAGTAGCATCGACAATAATTGTGTAGAAATGTGTTCTTTACGGTATCTGCATTACCATGGCTCCACATGTTTTGTCTTGTTTTGTTTTCTTTTTTACTTTTTACCTAATGGAAACTGATAGGTAATATTTTGAGATTTAACATTATTGGATTTTATCTTTCAGGTAACTTCATTTTTGAACTTAGGTTCAAATCTGTTTTATAGTATTCAGCAGAGTAATACATCACCTGTATCACCACTAACACATACAAAAAGTAATTTTTAAAAACACATTCGCTCACCGTTTTTGTGAATTTGCCACATCGTCTGGGGTCAATTCTAATATAGCACTTGTCACAATTCGTGGCTGCATATTCTGAAGAAGTGACATTGCATCACTGTATATCTAATGCTTTATATGTTTGGCGTTTGGTTATGAATAGGCCATATTCATTTTTCTGGTTTTCACCCTCTGAACCTGAAAACTAGTACGATTGATTTTTTTTTAGGACGGAGCAATGATTGGTGCTCTGGAATCGAAAGTGAAGCACGCGCAGTGCTTCGATGTGGCTTTGGTGGATGAAAGCAGTGTGGTTCTGGCATCAAAGGATTACCGTCTTTATCTTTATCGTTTCCAACGTAGTGCTGGAGGTGGTCAGCAATAGATTTTTGGTACCACCGTCGCTAGTTAGCGTGGCTACTGCAGGTCCCTGGCTTCAGTTGAAGATCTGTTTTTTTTTTGGTTTACCAAAACTGTCTCGTCCACTAATCGTTATCTAGAAGGGAATATGTGTTGCTGTTATTGCTTGTGCGTAGTCTTCTTCATGAGACGGCGTCAGGCTGCACTTTGTTGATTCCCTTATCCCTCTCTAATTCAACTTTTCCAATTACCCCGTTGTTTGCCAATTTGTTATTTACTTCTTGGTTGTTTCTTAGCTCTTTTGTATTTCAATTGTGTTCAAGTGTTTCGTGAGTGCGTGTGCGTGGTCCCGTAATAAGTAGTCGAAGAGGACTGCTTTTACGATGTGTGCTGACTATGAGGATGTACCATGCTGGGGTATCTCACCTAACCTTACCTTACCTTAGTGGTTTTCCAGGAGTAGCACGTATATCTCCACGCGACAATCGTGTGTCAGAGATTTTACCTCCCGAGCACTTCGCCACCGCCCGGTTTTATTGTCGGTATACGTTTTATCAATTTGTTATTGACAGGGGCCTCAACCCTGCTCTTCCTGTTGAAAACTTGTAAAATGCACATATTTATTTATTCGAATGTTGTTTTGTAATAATTGTAAAATAGGCGCGCTTGGGTGTTTAGGCGCGGTGGACGTTGACCGTCCCCCGATTGTTGCTCTTCTTCTCTCTGTTTTGGTTATATTGTTAGTGTGCAACTGCCGGCCAGTAAGTGATTTCGATTGGATACGTCGGTGCTTGCGGAAGTCAGACCCCGTATGTTGCCACGTACCTCATCGTTATCTACCCGTTCTTAGTCTTCCCGTTTATGAGTTTCGATAAATTGTTTTTTGTTTCGTGCCTACTATTTATAAATTTGAATCCAAGTATAATGAATCCAAGTAAAGGTGTAGATGTCTACAAACTATAAAGGTAGTCTATATGATTTGGGGAAACTAGCGGGAGAATGCAAAATTTTCTGGAGGTCTCCGTTGCCGCTGAAAGGCGACGCACTTGGAGAGGAATTATCTGACCGATGCTTATGAGATGATAATAGTACTAGTTCCTTCAAAATCAGGTGCAAGTGATTTAAGAAGTTTTGGCGGTACAATAGCTATTGAGCGATGTAGAGATGCTTCAGTGAGTAAGTTACGCTTTTTATTGAAAGTGAAAGGCGTCAAAGTGGAGTAAGGGTATATTTCACTGAAATGATATCAGCATATGTCTAAGTTTTGAATCAGTCGCATGAAAGCTCTTTTGGAAAGTGTGGGATCTACCGACGCCACTTTCTCCAAATTGAACTCGTGTTCAGCATAACGCTAACTATTACGTTATCACAGTTCATCCCTTCACAGAGCTGTTACTGCTGACGAGACCTGGTAAAGAAACTATGTGTGACGTCAACAGTCTCTGGCTTATTCTTCTTCATACTCTTTCCCAGGGATGCTTAGGAAGAATGGACTGTTCCAAATTGGTTCTCAAAGCTAATTTTGTTTTGGTAATCTGTCCAAACTGTGCTTTGAATTCATTATGTGGTTTAGTAATGAAATGACGTTTTTTAGCACTCGGTAGCCAAGAGGTAACATTGTAAACAAAGACGCTTGTCATCCTATCCAACTGTTTGCTTGCATAACCAATGTATTGCCGTTTAGAATTGCTTAACAATGTTACTACTGCCTTAGTGTACTTTATCAGCTGCAATTCCAAGTTCTTTATAGAAAAGCTACAATAGTTCTCATGCTGGGATCCTTTGTGCATTATGGAAGCTGACAAAGGGTTAGATGCATCTGGAAAACGACGTATGGTGGTTCACTGGATGGGCACTTTGCAGTTGCGGTGAATCATGGATTCGGCTTGCTACGTCACCGTTGAAATGCCATGTGGCATGAATCCGCCATTATTCTGAACAATTCGAGTCACAAAGCAGCAAATATTTCTCGACTGCGATTGTTTGTGATGGAAATCTGGAATGCTCTAGTACGGTTACCTCAGAATTGCAGAGGACGTGGTGTGCTACCAACGCCGAACTTATCACCGAGAAAAGAAGACAGGAGATCCTTAGGTTGCAGCAGAAACTATGCGCGAATCCTCCGTGCACCGTGGATGACGGCTGCATGAGAACAAAACAAAACGAGTCATCTAATTATAGAGTGTCTAAGTATGTGTTTGGTCATGTGTACCCATAAGATTGGGAGCTGTGTACGCAGATCGTATTTAATTCCCTGGTCCCGTTGGACTACTCCTAACGAATAACTTTTAGAAAAACATTGGGATTGGCTCAAACTGATACTACTCTCATCTACTCTTGTGGGGGAACCCACAACTAGTATTGGGTTAGTATTCTTGTTTCTGCCTTATAGAACTTGCGGTTTCTTCCTCATGTCATCTAAAATTTGGGTAATTGTTACCACTTTTGTTTTTTTTATAATCTTACACGGCCTGAGCTCACATATGTTGCTCGAATTTCAGCAATTTTTGGGTCATAAGAGCCTTGGTAGGCCCAGAATGGCGTCGGGTCAGCGCTTTGATGGCGATGAACGACGCCACTATTAGTGTGTGACCCGCTACGTACTGGACCGTTATTCGAATCATCACGAACCTAATCACGCTGTGAGAGTAACAATATAAGGAATAAAGATTGATATTAACAGTACCCGTAGGAAACGGGTGGAACTAGTCAAATAAGTGAATATTCCAAAATATTACGTAATCCATGTAACACATTAACAATGGTATGCACTTTCTAAGATGCACATTTTGGAGCAACTCGACCATGTGAGTTGATTTCTATTCACTTCCTACTAGATGTCTAGCCTACCCTACAGATCTCCTCGTTACATTCTTCGTATTCAGTCTTAGCTTACACATCTTAGATATTCTGGTAGATTTGGTCCGAGGGTTGTAACCTTATTTAAACATTTGAATGGCCCATCTCCGGAAGTAATGTGGGTGCCATCATATTTCCAATCCGTATTCTTATCGTTTAATCTTCGTCCGCAGTGACCTGTTCCGAAAATGGTGATGTCCACGAGGTACAACCCGTGGTTAAAGAAATCGTATCCGACTAGTGTAGTGCTGGCTGCGATCGGCGCACGACTATTGTAGTAACTGTTGCGCCACTCACTACTTTGTAGAAGTGCATTGGAACTTTGGTGGAACAGACAGTTGAATTGAATATCAAATGGTCTAGAGACTATCGATTAGTTGCTGCTATATTTGCTTCACTCTCGGAGATGAATCTGTGTCGTGATATTTACTATCTGACAGTTCTGTAATATATAGGTATTCACTCCTCGACATTTGAGAGACTGCGAATTGAGAGTCAAGAAATAGAAATTGTAGTTTCATCGCACTACTAGTGGTCTGTAGGCTATAGTTGCCAAATGAACCCACGACTTGGGTTCTGCGTGAGGATGCCGGAGGCAGGTTTTCTTCTTCGAATACAGTGCCACACGGTGTTAATCCGCTTGTTTGAACGAACTCATATCTGCTCGTTCTCCGCCACAAGGATCTTGTGATTATTGTCTCCACAGCGAAGATCTCAAACTTGGGTAGTATAACAAGACAATAGTATAGAGAATTCTCTATCTATCTAACTAATACATTCTATGGGTCGATGGAGACCGCGTTGCTACAACGCTGCGTGCGTGTCCAGTGTGCATGTCTGGCTCTGGCCAATGGGTACGCCGACCGCTTGGACGTAGGCACGCCACCGTCATTTGGCCCGACGACGCTGTGAAGAGCGCCGTAGCCAACTTCATCATTATTTCTCTCCCGCTAATTCTTTCCTTGCGGATTCATTGGCTCAGGTCGTAATGATATTAAGTGTAATCCTTAGCTCTTGCATGGCTGATATATTATTATCGTTGATTCTCGTGTAATTACGTTGTGTGTGTTAATGCATTCTATTAGGTAAAAATCCACTGAACCACCTTACTCGTAATTTGTTGTACAGACATTAGAAATCTTATCGTTGTTGTGCAAACAGTGTGTATATACGAGTAGAGGTTTAGTTACCCAAGTTTGAGGTACCCTACAAACATTTCTTCACTCTTGCTCACTCCCGCGGACGCTCTTCATATTATTGCGCTGTGAGCCTTACAGTGCGGCAATGTTAATACAATAATAACGACAAGCCAATACTGAAAGAGCACAAGTGGCAAAACGATAAAAGGATTAATAAATACGGATAAGCCAATGAGTAAGAAATCACATTGAGGTAAGACAGTAGTTGTATTATGGGTTATTGAGGTAGTGTGAGAAAGAGGTTTCATATAAAATACAATGTGACGAAGATAAGGAGCAAGCGGTAGCGCATGCATAAGTGAGATCAGATGATTGGTGGTGCGAGCGGCTTACTGTGATAGGCTGCCGTACTAATACTGAGAAATGATGTCAAATAGAATACAATAATTACATTGTAATGAGATTAAATTGGTAGGTGACACACATAGGAATGAAATAGCTTTACCTGCTTGATACTTGATACGTGAATGGCCCGTCCTCACTGGTTGTGGGCCCCCGCATAATATCCAATTTTCGGAGATTTGCTGGTTAAGCCATTATGGTTCCCTGGAACCCTGAGGGCAACCTGGCCAAAGTCTGCTCCAGGTCGTCACCACCACAGACAGTCGCCGCCCTTCTGGATCAGAGGGAGATTTGCCACCATGCGACTATTTTGATACGAGGACGGTGATGGATCCTGGTGTTGGTTTACTCTTAGCTAGGTTTCCTGTTGGAAACGCCGGACACCTCAGCTTGGGAGATCCTGCCAAGGGGATGAATCCCCCCGTTTACACATCGCAGACCAACACCCAGAAACACCTCCCAGCCACGATAAGGCGGTAAACCGTCGGGAAGGAAATTATTAGTCGCGCTTCCGGCTGAAGATGTGAAACACCTTTGCCTGGGAAATCTTTGCAGGCTTTACGGACAACACTGACTGGTGCGAAGAAAGAGTGTTAACCTTACCAACGCTCATCCAGATCACGGT